TAGTTTAAAGCCATTCCCCCTTGTCCTGTCGCAACAGGCCCTGCTCAAAAGTTTGCCACCATCTTTTTTATAAGCCCCCTTTAAATACTGAGAGGCTGCAAGAAGGTCTCCCCGAAGCCTTCTCTTCTCTAGGCTGAACAACCCCAACTCTCCCAGCCTTTATTCGTAGGAGAGGTGTTCCATCCCCCTGATCATTTTTGTGGCCCTATTCTGGACCCGCTCCAACATATTGATTAACCTTTAAGCGCTCTACAAAGAAAACATAAGGTCCTTGTTAAAAGACAAAGTTACTTGTCCGAGGTTTCACAGCTCAGCTTGATCAGCTGACTTAATTCACTGGATCACATTTCCCTCCAGTGTATGCATCGTAACATCTGATAAATGGCTCAGAAATTATAAAGGTTTTTGGAAACTCTAGAGATTTTAACTATGTAAGGTACAGCCACACTTGGACAGGTTTCTCTTTAAAATAACAGTTTCTCATGAGTCTCTGACCCAGTGGTAATAAGGTGAGAGAAGTGAGAAGGTTATTTTTAGTCCTAGAGGTTAATAATAACCCAAAGGTTATTTTTAATCATAATAAAAAGGAATTGGACTTCATCATTAGTTGATATAAGTGACAATAAGGAGAAATAAAATGTTTTGTATCAACGCTGCATTTGATATATGTGCAGCGGTCTGTAACATCCTTTGCTGTACTGCATTGATGAAAAAGAAGAATTAATTTCATTCTTTTGAAATAATTGCTCATGCAATCGTATAGATTTTCCTGCCATCCCAACCTCCTAAGCCAGTCATTTATTTCCTGAAACAAGCTACATTTTTAAAGAGAATGACCTAGGCATTGTTTATGGTTTTAATGTGACCGCCCCTCTCTGCCCCAGAAAGGACATAGTTTTAAACTTTTTAAAATTTTAAGCTATTATGAGGCAATAACTTAAATATCTTTCACTGAAGAGTAAGTTTTCATTGAAAAATGTGTTTTACTCATTCTCACTCCAAGGCTTTGGTCAGTATAACTATCCTGTTAAAACTTGATACTATTTACTGGTGTTATTTTATGAGGAAAATTTAAGTGTACATATGAAAGCAAAATGCATCAGTTGTGACTTCAGTAAAAAGAGTATTATGAATAGCCATTGGTTAAAAGCAGTTGTATCAGATTTTTCAAAGGTATATAGGTGGCTAAGTGCCATTACGAACATAGTGGGGGTTAACTCTTAAATAAGTGTCTGACATGTTGGTTTATGAATGGGAAGAGGAGGTTAGTGGGAAGGAGGTGTCATTATATGAGTCACACCCTTGATTTTCATTTTTTTGTAGCTGTCAAGTACAGGTGTGCTTTTGTCAGCAATTACTACTCACTTGATTGTGTATGTCCTTGTACTTGCAAGTAAAACTTAGCATTCCTTTTAGAGAGGCTCGGGAAAATGTAAAGCCTCTTGTAAACAGTGGTTTGTGTACAGAGAGAGTATTTGGGACACTTCAGGGTCTACAGAAATAGCTGGTATAGATGTTAGTGGCATTGTCGATAGGCTTTGGTTAAAACTTCTAATGTTGGCAGAATGTAAGTCTAAAAGTGCTCTGTGAGCTCCTGAAATTCTGCTAAATGTTATGCTAAAAGCGCAAAGAACAACAATTTGGCTACTGGGCTGTCATTTCAGCACCTTGAACACCCACTAATGGATCTGTAATGACTGTAATGATATAATGCATGATGTTAGCACCTGCTATGGCCAAATACCTCCCACCCTCCTCCCATCAGGGGATGATGAATTGGCCATCATCAAAAAGTACATCCCCTATTTAGAATTTTTCTTTGGGGAGTTGCAGCAGAGTGTATTTTCCGTGCTTTCTCGACGCGTTCCCAGCTAGCTCTTTTTCTTTTACTCTGCTCCCTGCTTTCTTACATAGTTTTTATCACTGCAGTAGTCTGTGTCTGTTACAACAGTGCAAGCTGAAGTCTACTAAGTAACCCATACCGCCTTCTCCAGGGCAGAAGCAGAATGTACGTGTGGACTTTTATGGATTTGTTTTCACCCTGCAGAGGTTGTTGCTACTGCTTTGTAAAATGTAGGTTTACCTTTTTGCCACCTATTTCTTAATATGTATTATCTCTGGAATAATTTCACAGTCTAAAGAATTTCCCCTTAGGTGTTTAAACGGTTAGGTGCTTAAGTTGTGGGGCATAGTTTCTCCGCCCTGCTTGGCTGGTCACACTTCATCATCCCCAGAAGGGCACTGGAATTTGAATTCAGAGTGCAGGCATTCTTGCTACTGGTCTGCCTGCAAGCACGTCTGGGAGGGGAGTCAGCAGCGGACGCAGGGGGTACCAGGAGGGGAGGATGTCCTGCTCCTCACCCTAAGGCTGGTAACAGAATATATGAGTGTCCTGGGTTTTAGGGAGGGAAGAGAGGCTGCTTGTGAGGAAAAAAGTCAAATATGCAGCTGAGAGGCTACTTGATAGTAGAACAGGGACTTACAATTTCACTTGTGAAAACAATTTCCCCTCCTCAGCCTCAAATTATTTGACTGTTATGATTGTCTGGTAAGTCAAGTAGCCATTGGCCTGGTCAGATGGTTTAACATCAAACCAGATGCTCAACTGATAATGTAATACATTCCAAAGTCATGCTGCAGTTGGAAAGCATAGCAAACCATCTTTGAGGCTAGAAAAAAAATATCTTTAAGCTAACACGTTATGGGGAGACAGACAATTGATGAGGGCCTTTCCTCTCTTGCCCTCTAAGCTTGGTGTTTCCAGGAAGTAATCCTGTGAGCTGTGATTCTGTCCAGGGTTTTGATCCACTTACAAGTTTAATCTATCCTCTCTGAACTTAAATGCTCCATTATCTGTTAGAAAATAATTAGAGGCTGCAAGCACAAGTCTGTATACACAGAGTTCCTTGGGAGTCCCTGAGCTCATTGAGATGAAGACAGTTTGACTGATGATGGTCAGCTGATATTGGGCCAGAAGCTAATAATAGAAGGCAGTGCTGCTTAGCTAGGTGAGAAAGTTAACTTGGGAAAAATTAAACTGAAGGGTTTGGGATTTATGGTCGGAAATAAATTTCCCATTCTCATTTGTTTCTTG